GTGGAAACTTTGTCACCATAGATACGCCAATTAACACATCGAACGGCGTTTCAATTAATCCACCAAATCACATCTGTCAACGAACAGATGAACGTTTCGGCGCTTTTTCTATTCGAGTTGTCAAAATGAACGGTGTAACCTAAATCGAACAATTACACGCGCGATATTTGTCGCGATATTCCATCATTGTCGGAAGAATGTCCGAATTAATTGGACATTGTAAAAAATGACAAAACTGCTTTTTCTCAGATACTTACATTGTTCCACGAAATTGATCGTTTTCACGGCGATCGAATTTTTCCACACGATCTACTATTGCATTCTTCGAAGGATATTCACGCAACTCAACGGAGAGAGATCGTTGCAATGGGTAACGTCGTTTCCTCTCGCGACTCTAACGCAATTAGACTTCATTCATGTCCTCCAACGTGCACGCGGTCCTATTGATTTTCCTCTTTCCTTTTCAGACGCAACGTTTTCTAATCCGAAAGCTTGCCATCTAAAAAAATAAAAAAAAAAAACTCGCTCTTAGACTGAATAAGGACAAAAACGAAGAAACGTAATGCTATTATATCGGTAGGAAGAGGTGTGAAAGAGGTAAAATGTCGAAATCCACGTAACAACAGAAATAAGAAAAAAAAAGTTAGAGTAATTTACCATGAATTTTAAGTTTCCGTTTTTAAAAAATCTTCTGTACATTGTTCTCCCTGTTAACCTTTTCGCTGCGGCAAATTTTACTAAATTTTCTTCGCGCGTGACAAATTTAAATGTTCCACAACGGTTGCAAAATTTTCTTTTTTTTTTAGATATACCATTTTAAAATTTGTTTCATGGAATACTCTTTGCGGTCGAACCCCGGGATATTCGGCGTTTTTACCTTCTAAACGCTCTGTGCACGCTCTTTGCATGCAGAAACGGGGGAAAAAATCATAATACGCACACAGCTTGAACAAACTCGTTTGAATAAAATTAAACGTTTTTTGCGGCAATAATCGACTGAGTACGCGCTATCAAAAAATAATTTCTACTATCATGCTTATGGAAAATACGAGCGCAAAGAGTTAGCGTGGAAGAGTGAGGATGAAGTTAAGGCTTAACACTTTAAGCGTTCGGCGTTTACATGTTTGTGCAGAAAAAAATATTATATCTGTTGAACAGCAAGTGGCTGAATATTAATATCATTAAAAATCGTCGCTGTGCCTGTAATAAGCACTACGTAAAATTTTTCAATAGAAATTTTCTCTTTTACATTTTATTTGATTTCGTAAAAGTGCATGTCTCTACAAAACTCGTAAATATTGCGGCGCTTTAAGTGTTAAACTAACATCGAAGTGCGCGGAAACGCTCCAAACAGCATAATTCTAAAAAATTTTCAAAGCGCCTACAGGCGCGAATAGCAGTGAAACGGTTAAAAAAAGAAACAAGGAAAAAACAGAATGTTCGAACGATATCGAGCGATGTGAAGTATCAGCGAAGCTATTTTAACTGTCGAACTACCGCATGTTTTACAGTTCATCCTCTACATTTTTATTCTTGGCACGTTGATTTTAATCCTCGACTCGTATGCTCTGGCAACGAAGGCTCCCTCACAATACAGCGAAGCTTTAGCATTTTGCCGGTTCAACCAGATACATCTGCCGAAACGCGCGATTGAAATTGCCGAGCTCCGCCACAATGGAACCGAGAGATACTTTTCACGGGGAACCTTGACCTACGGATCAAAGAAATACGCGATTCACTTTTTGCTAGACGGTGATACATCAACCAGCGACGAGGAAGTTTCGAAGAGATTTCTTCGGCCGCGATCATCCGGAGCGGAAGAACGCGAAAGAGGAAGAGATTTCGAGGATCGCACTGTATCCCGTACACTCGATCGAGAGATTCTTTCGTAAATGAGGAGAATATGCAAACGAATGCAAATCGGAGTAAGTTGAATGCCTCGGGACAACGGGGCGAGGGAAAATTTCGTGAATGACTGGGAGATAAAATGGAAATTCTAGAGACGCAGGAACAAGATCAGCGTTAAAGATGAAATTCGCGGGAATAGGATTCTCGATTAAAGGGAAGAAGAATGTGTGTAATCTCTTGGGACTCGGTTAAGCTGTATCAATTAAGAAACGAAATAAATATTACTGTTTAAGTGGCGAACGTAGCTTTCAACGTTGAACTCGGTTAAGCGATAATTGAAACGCATATTCTTGTTTCTTTGGTTTGGGCGTGTTAAGGTGGAATCTTTATCGTTGAGGATTTTTCAGAGTTAGCTTGTAATAATGTTACTTTGCAGCAACGACAATTGACAAAATATGATAAGTGAGTATAATAATAATTTTGACGATTGACAAAATATGACGAGTGAATATAATAATAATTTTTTCATTTTGTTCGTGTTAATGTGGAATCTTTATCGTTGAGGATTTTTCAGAGTTAGCTTGTAATAATGTTACTTTGCAGCAACGACAATTGACAAAATATGATAAGTGAGTATAATAATAATTTTGAAAATTATATATAATAATAATTCGTCGCAACTTCTATTGTAAGACAACTTTTACACAACTATAAAACGACTCCGACAACTCTAAGACACCTCAGACAACTTTTAAACATTTCATACAACACTCTCTGTAACACTCCATCTCTAAACTGACAGCAGCATCTCCCAAGACACTCTGCCGTCTCCGTACAGGGTGGGACAATAATTTTGTCCACCTTAAATATTTCCCTTATTTATACTAATATAAAAAGAATGTACAAATAGTGTTGTGAATTTGTTTCACAAATTTCACCAAGAGAGTGTAATCAAACTTACTCTTCAAGGTCAAATATAGTATTAAAATAAGTTTTCTTACATCATAGGAAATATTCCAAGTGTCGACGAAAAGTTGCAATTTTTGTATCTCTGAATCACGTGCACATGTTTTATCGCCTTTGAAATTATCCCAGCACATTCAGCAGTAATCCGTTGTCTCATACAGGAGAAGTGAAAAGAAGAGTCTTCCTAGCGGGTAGGGGTGTGCTATATTATAACAATTTACGACATTGCGTGGAATATTGGTAGTCAGTATCAACTTATCGTCGAGCCAAATATCCTAG